ATATATATATATATATATATATATATATATATATACATCAACTAATGTGATTTTTAACATGTAACAAATTTGATAAAAATCTTGCAAGTAATAATATACGTATTGGTTGAATGTAGCCGAAAAAAAAAATAATTTTACTGAATTCACTTTTGTTTCATTGATCAAAAATAAATAAATAAATAAATAAAGTCAAAAATTTTAAAATTTTGTTCGAATTAAAAAATTTACATATTATATATTAAAGTAATTGTAAACGATCTGTAAAATTGTAACAAAGAATTAAATACAAATATATCAAAAAGAAGCATGTCGAGAAATATTCATTGAATAGGTAATAAATGTTAATGTACACAATTGTTATTTATTTATCAACTAAAATGTATATACCACAATGATAAAATGTAAATATTAAAAACTTAATCAGTAATAAAATATGATATTATTAAGTTAATAGAGAAGAGAAAAAAAAAATTTGCTCAATATTATCAATTGATTAAATGCAACAATTTTTTTTATCCTTTTATCATAAATTTATTCAAAAGAAAAATAAATAAATTAATATAGTATAAAACAAATTGAATTTAACAAAATCATTCGATTAAAATTTATAAAACAAAAAATTATAAAAAGCAAAAATAAAGAAAAAATCTACCATATTCTTAATTAAAAATTCAAGGAATATAAAATCAATCAATTACAGATACGTTAAATATTTTTGATCCTTGCTGGAAAAATTATAAATAAAATATTTTATTAGAAAGTATATTAGATTGTTTGAATTAAATCAATCATAAATTACGATTCTAATGTTATTTGTTATTATGGTCAATTTAAAGCAGTGATATTATTGTCATCTGATTAATGATGTTATCAATATGATTCGTAATATATATCTAATTGCTAGTATTGTATTAAATATAATCCAATTACAATTTATTTTTATTATTCATTTGACAATGAATAACAATACTGGTAGATATAATTTAAAAAAAAAAAGAAAAAGAAAGAAGAGAAACAATTATTAACATAACCTTGCAATAAGATTAAAACAAACAACTTGATAGTTATAAAATATTCCAAAAAATTCAGCTTTATAATTTCAATTTTAACTTCAATTATAGCATACAATTGAAAATCATCCCTTTAGTATATATACATAAAACCATTTGAATTTTATGCTTAATTCATTATTTGATCAGACATATTGCTTGCATAAAATGGCAAAGCAGTGTAAATTTTAGGTTTAGAAATATCGGAGTTAACATATGCTAGTTGACCTCCAAATTGCTTATCCTTTTTTTTTTTTTTTTTTCTTGAAGATTGTCAAAATAAAACTAAGGCATTTTCAACCACTTCCCCCTTTGTTGCATTTATCATAAATTATGTTCGGGCAAAATTTGATTAACGATTCAACGAATATTCTACCGTAATACGAAATGTTATTCGTTGGTAATTTCTTTTTCTTTTTTCTTTTTTTTTTGTTTTTCTTATTTTATCATGAATATTCTAAAAATGCCAAATATTTCTTTCATAATTTATGATTTGAAAATAAGATTTTGGAATTAAAATAGCTCTCGCACACTTAGAAATGACACATTGGTATTGCAGTATGATTACAGTAATAATAATAGTAATGATGATGATGATAATAATAATAACAGTAACAATAATGACAACAATAATGGCAGTAATAATGATGATGATAATACTAGCAACAATAATAGCAATAGTATTAATAATAGTAATAATAATTAGTGATAATAATTAATAATAATAATTAATAATAGTAATTAATAATAATAATTAATAATAATAATAATAATAATAATAATAATAATAATAATAATGATAATAATAATAATTAATAATAATAATAACGATAATAATAGTAATGATAATAATAA